TGAAAGTCGCTCTTGTATCAGTTTATGACCTTCTGAAGATTGATTGAAAAAGAATGCTCCTAACTCTCTGTGTATCAATGTCCTTGCCACCCTCTTTTTATAATGTAGCCTCCTAACTTTTTTTGCATCGATATCCTTACCACCCTCTTTCTAAAAGGTAATTAAATTTGAGGGCTTGATTTACAAGCTCAACTGATTCTACTAGTTAGAAAGAAAAACAATTAGTAGGGGATAACCACAACTTTTGAATTAAGGAACAATCGGACTAAAAATTGGAGGAAGCAATAAATATAATTAGATCTTGTTTTTCCTTTCCCTTGTAGGCATCCGTCGCTTCTGGTTTTCTAATTTTTCACGGGGCCACCTTGAGTCTTCCTCTTTAAAATTCCATAAGAATTATATTATTGTTACTCCATCTTTGCATGAATTCTTTCATGGTATGGGTATCATATGTGAAAGTAAAAAACTGTGCAAATGTAAACATGAATGGTGTTAAAAAAGAGAAATTTTCATCTGTGAATTCAGGACAGTCATCTCGAAAAGTTTGGCTCTGATTAGTCTGCAGAACAGAAGTCAGATTTCCCATATGTGCATGCTGTTATGTTCGAAAAAATGTTTCAGAGAGGAAGATTGTGCTCTTCATCTGTAGGAAGGTTTACCTAGCATTAGTATGACTATCTCCGTAACGATACTTTTAGTCTCGAGCTCGTTTGAGCAAGTCCCTCTCCTATTGGAGCTAAAATAGTAAGCCAATGATAAAAAAAAATTCTAGGTTATTGAGTTTCTTGATACTTCTTAATGTTTTAGGTTACTCAAGCATGGTTCATCGAGCTTAGTCTAGTTGTTTTCTGTTTTATATGAGTTCTTGAGTTTAGTAAACAGTTTTACTGATTATTGTTGTTACTATTATTCGCCTATGTTTTTTATCATTGTTGCACCCGTATGTAACTTTTTGTTGTCTCCAGTTCAGTAGGCGGTCTTGTTTGAATATAATGAAAGTACAAAAATAATGAAGTGGCTATCAAGGCTATTAGTAAGTAAAGAAGTAAGAGATTGATGATCGAAAAAAATGAGAATGCTTTCACATCACTTCAGCTCCAAGGACCTCTTGGCTCTGGTAATGTGTTCTTCCACTTGGCTATCAAAGGTTGAGCCACTTTCTGCCTGGTACAAGTTTAAATCCCATTATCACACACAACAGCCAGAGCAAGATAGAAAAAGAAGACAAGAAGATGAAGAACATAAACAAAACATGAACCAGGGACCATCTATTGGCTCTCCAGCTCGAGTCCAGAAGCTTATTGCTTCCCAATCAGATCCACTCCTTGCTAAAGAAATTTTTGATTTAGCCTCACGAGAACCCGATTTTCAGCACTCCTATGCCACTTTCCACACTCTCATCCTCAAGCTTGGCCGTTCCCGGCAGTTCTCCCTCATGCAGTCCGTCTTCTCTTCCCTAAAGTCACAGCATTATTCCATCTCCCCATCCCTTTTTTCGCGCATCATCCAAATCTATGGTGATGCTGGCCTACCTGACAAAGCCCTTAAAACTTTCTATACTATCCTGGAATTCAATATGAAGCCCCTTCCGAAGCATCTCAACCTCATTCTTGAAATCCTCGTAACGCATCGGAACTTTCTTCGCCCTGCTTTTGATCTCTTCAGATCTGCACATACATACGGAGTTTTGGCCAACACCGAGTCCTACAACATTCTAATGCGGGCATTCTGTTTGAATGATGATTTAAGTATTGCCTACTCGCTGTTTAATCAAATGTTTAAGAGAGAGATCAGTCCTAATGTAGAGTCATATAGGATTCTGATGCAGGGTTTGTGTCGAAAAAGTCAAGTGAATACAGCTGTTGACTTGCTGGAGGATATGCTGAATAAAGGTTTTGTTCCCGATGCTTTAAGTTATAGCACTCTATTGAATAGCTTGTGTCGGAAAAAGAAATTTAAGGAGGCTTACAAGCTTCTTTGCAGAATGAAAGTAAAGGGTTGCAATCCTGACATTGTCCATTACAATACAGTAATTCTGGGGTTCTGTCGAGAAGGTCGTGCTGCTGATGCCTGTAAAATCCTCGAGGACATGCCATCAAACGGGTGTCTTCCCAATTTGGTGTCTTATAGGACATTAGTTGGGGGTCTAAGCAATCAGGGAATGTACGATGAGGCTAAGAATTACATGGTGGAAATGATGTCAAAAGGCTTCTCTCCACATTTTTCTGTGGTTCACACGGTTGTGAAAGGTTTCTGTAACCTAGGTAAAATTGAGGAAGCTTGTGGAGTAGCGGGGAGTATTTTGAGTCATGGTGAACCCCTACATACAGATACATGGGAAGAAATTGTATCCAGGATCTTGGAATGGGATGCTGCTGAAAAAATAGGGAACACCTTGGTGGAACTTATTCAAGCCGAGATAAAACCTGAAATGAGAATAGTTGAGGCTGGCGCTAGGTTGGGTGAATATTTGATGAACAGCATAAAAAGTAAATCAAGGAAGGGTTGATCATTTCATAGGACAGGAATAGGTCCTGCTAAGCTACACGAAAAGGATGTTTACCTTGGAAGATAGCAAATGCACATGAAACCTGATACTGGTTAATACAACCCCGAAAAGGACTCTACTGTCAGAAAGTAAATTTGAGTTTATCTTGCTAGCTCGTCAAGCCAGTTCATTGACATGGTTGTTTTAGCAAGGTGAGTCTTCCTCTCCCATGGGCCATGTTTTTCTTGGCTCGCTTTATATGCATGTCAAATCATACTCGTTGAGTCTCCGTTTGTTCTTTTGAGTGGTAATTGGTCAAGTCTAAGAATATTTCTCAATCTTTGGATCTTACTTCTTATTTGCCTAGTTCCTTTTTCAGGTTTGCACTATTTTTTTTCGCGGTGCAAGAGTTGTTGGTTCAATAGACTTGATGAATCACGTTGAAGTTCTCAATGTTATTATGCCTAAGAGTGGAGCAACTTTGACAGAAGCAGAAATGCAGAGACATGAGTAATTTACTGAAGCAATCATTTTCAATGTCAAGTTAGGTTGGTTTAGTGTCTATCAGTCTGCTGAAGCAGCTTCTATTGGTAGTTTGGTACTATGTTATCAGCGGTCACAGAAAGGGATTCGTCATCTATTATATATGCATTAAAGACTAATTTTTTTAGTATATACAATGTAATTTTCTTGCGAATGGGGTTCAGATGAACCCTCTTCTGCACCTCTAGCTTTGCCCCTGATTATCAATACCTTATTCATCAACTCTTATTGGCCTACTAGAAGTTCATTAAGTGAGGGCAAATTAATTTCATTTTTACTTTAGTGAAGGCACATCAAGTTTTTTAGCTTTTCTGACCAAAAAAAAAAAAGGTTTTTAGCTTTAACTTCATAATAATAATAAACTCACGATTGGGCATAAAATATCAAAAATCAAATTACTGAATCGAATTGAAATTTTTGGTTATTTGGTATTTGATAATTCGGTATTTGGGAGTAAAATTTTAGAATTATTGTATTCGGGTTTGGGTTTGGTATGAGACATTAGTACTATTTGGTATTCGGTATTTCCCGAATACCAAATTATTTACTTAGTGAAGGTCATATATCAATATATCAATTACTCATTAGTGCAAGTCCAAAGAGAAAGTTAAAGAATAAGCATGAATAATCCAAATACATGCCTTTTAGTTATATCAATTTGCTTTTCTTGTTGATCTTCTATTATATCGTGTGTCCACATAAAAAAATAGAAATGATTTGGAGAAATAGTATTAACTTTGTAATACAAATTTCAATACGGTTTTACCGAATATCGTACCTAACCGAAGTTTAATTTACCGTTCCCGAATTACCAAACCGAAATTTAAAAATTTGGTATTTAGTATCTACTTTAAACTACCAATTACCGAATTACCAAACTCGAAATTTGAGAAATTCAAACCGAATATCGAATGTCCATCCCTAAACTTCCGTTAAGTTTCCAAGCTAATATAGTTATGATTTATATGAAGAATAAAAAGCCAAATGGAAGTGCGCTTGCTTGGCAAATAATGACCATGTCAAAGTAGTCAATACATCCTCACACGCATTAATACTTTCTCCACCATGGTTGGTATGGTCAAGTTAATCCTTTAAATATATTTAAAGGAGAAATCTCGTTAGCTTAGAAACTAATTATTTAGATATATGTTAGTTTATGATATTATGAATCAGATGTTGGTGTGTCCAAATATATGTATTTCGAGATACATGAGTTCAAAATAATGTGTAATTTATTTTAAATATACTGTATCCAAATGAATTCGCATGTATCTAGAATACATAGACAATTTTTTGTCCAAAAAAAAAATACATATACAAATCTCGCTCGCCTCCCTCTCATCTCGCTCGCATATATGATAACTCATATATATGTGAATCATACCAAATACATGTCATTTGTCCGTTAGATTTGAGAGAAGTATCAAAAACACCCATAAACTTGTCATCCCCGAACTATTGACAGCCTTACAAATATCCTTCTACTTGACTAACTATACTTAGATATACCCCGGATATACTCCCGATATGCCACATGACATAACAAGTGGTCTCAAACTCTTGTAGGAGCATGATGTTCTTAATAAAAATCGAGTGAAGTATTAAAACCATTCCTAAACTTGACAAGAATTTAGAGGGTATTTTTCACTAATGTTGCAAGAGCGGAGATGTACTTAGCTTCAATTAGTCAAGTAAATGTGTATTTTTAAGGGTGTCAATACTTCAGAGATAAAACTAACAATTTACATCAAATTTAGGTGTTCGAAACTTATCTCGAAAATATTCGGTAGGACTCACATTTGGATATGCATTTTGTGCTAGTTATAATCTTATCTTGTTTGGTACAACTCCTTAAACTACAAGAAATCGTTTGGTACAAAGTATTAGAAAAAAATAATACTAATATTAATTCTAATACATTCTAACTTAATTTATTTAATATAACAGATCAAACCGTCGATAATAAATAACTTCAAACTAAAAAAAAAAAAAAAACATAAGTATCCATTTTCGTCTTCTTTTAGTATTCACCACCGAACAACAATGTCTTCCTATGGCAACCGACCATCGTATTCTCCTTCTGCGCCGCCACTTTCCGACCCAAATGAGCCACCAATAGCCCACCCATATCATCCTCCTCCTTCTTCCTCCTCTGCAAATTACTCAAATTACCCTCATCAGTCTCAGCCGCAAACAGCTGGTTATGGACCTGGTTCTTCTTATGGGTATTACCAGAATCCACCAAATTATGGTTCTGGTTTTCCTCCGGGGACTGACCCACAAGTTATTCAGAGTTTTCAGATGGTAGATAGGGATTGTAGTGGGTTTGTTGAGGAGAAAGAGCTACAACAAGCTCTTTCTTCTGGTTACCAAAGGTTTAGTCTTAGGACTATTCGTTTGTTAATCTTTCTTTTCAAGAATCCATCTGAGTATTTTCCAAGAATTGGTGAGTTTGGGGGAAAAAAAACATATTTTGCTGGGATTTTGGTTGTGGGGTTCTTTATATTGATCTGTTTAGCTCAATTTTACTCATTTCTTGAATTTTTAGGTCTTTGGGTTTTTGTCGTGTAGGCTAATTGATTCATATGTAGCTTTACTTTTATATCAATGTAGTTCAAATTAACGATGGTGATTAGGAAAAAGAAGCGATTTTGGTTGTGGGGTTCTTTATATTGATCTGTTTAGCTCAATTTTACTCATTTCTTGAATTTTTAGCTCTTTGGGTTTTTGCTATGTAGGCTAATTGATTCATATGTAGCTTTACTTTTATATCAATGTAGTTCAAATTAACAATGGTGATTAGGAAAAAGAAAGGATTTTGTTGTTGTTGTGGTGGTGGTGGTAGAGTCCAAATGCTGGCAATATAATTTATCCATGTCTTTTGCTATGATTTTGGTTGTGGGGTGCTTTATATAGACTTGTTTAGCTCAATTTTAGTCATTTCTTGAATTTTAGCTCTTAGTGTTTTGCTATATAGCTTTTCCTTTATATGAAGGTAGTTCAAATTGACAATGGCGATGTTCTTGTTCTGATTAAGAATTAATGATTATAGATTATATAGCTAGTGTTTTGGTTTGTTTCTGAAATATTGTGGTAGTTAGCTATATGACATTGCTATCTAATTTTGTTGCTTTGTTTTTGCTATTCCTTGTTTACTTAAGCTTTGCCTTGTATTGCTGAACAGGACCAAAGGAATTTGCTGCACTATGGAGCTGTCTTGGTCAATGGAGGGTATTGTTCATTCCTTTCTGCTTTAGTTTTTAATTGTTAGGATAGCATTCAAGAAGTTAGATATGAAAACCTCAGGCAGAAACAAAAAAAAAAACTTAAAATGGTGGTTAGCATGAGGAAGAGCGGGTTGTAAAAGATAGGGAGGTGGAAGCAGATGGGGGGGATGATACAAAATAAGTTATATGCAGCCCAATATGGCCTTGTCCTGGGGTAATTTTTTAGTTTTCGGCCTATGGAAGAACATCAGTCACAGAAAGTGATGGGTAAACATTTTGGACAATTTGGAGAGTTGAGATACTATAGATGTTTCGAGAACAGATATTCACCTTTACCATGCATAAATTTTAAAGCTTTACAGTTCTTGTACTAAAACACACAACCAACATAAAAAAGAAATGAAGGTGATTGGTAACAAAGATCAAAAAGAAACATAGATGCTGATACTGAGGTTAACTTAGTGTATGTCTCTCACACCCTACCATAGCCATTCATATTTTGTTTTCAAGATCACCTTTTTCTAGTTTTAGTTAATGTCTCTGACATTTTGATCCTCTGGTTTGCAGGCCATTTTTGAGAGATTTGACAGAGATCGAAGTGGGAAGATTGATGCAACAGAACTAAGGGATGCTCTCTACAGTCTTGGATACATGGTGCCACCTTCTGTTCTTGAAGTTTTGATTTCCAGATATACTGATGGAAGTGGTAGGAGACCCGAGCTGTGTTTTGATAGTTTTGTCGAGTAAGTCTGATACTGCAATCACCTTTTCATTAAATAGATAGGTTTTCAAGTTGACTATGTTCTGAACTTTATGTTTTTATGATGCAGATGTGGGATGGTTGTGAAGGTAAAAGAACTGATCTCTTTCTATAAGCATTTCCTTACTCAATATCTTGATTTATGCATCTGCGCGGCTTCAATGTATTTCCCCTCATCTCTCCCCCACATAAAAGTGTGCCTGCTCTTGGGCTTGGAGAGGAGACTAACAATTATAAGTGTTAAACCTAGTTTGTCATTGCAATCTTATCCTTCTTATAATACTGAGTTTAGACGGAAGTGTGACAACTCAAATTAGAGGTCATGACTAGCACCTGATGGGCTACTCCAACTGTTATTAGAACTCCGATTTTAATAAGTTATGATATCTAAGAAAGTCTAACTGCAAACTGAAATTATTGATCTGAAAAAGCTAATACAATGAGCTGAAGCTGAAAATCTATATCGTGTACACGTCACTCAGCTCATAAGTACTTCTCTTTCTTATGCTCTCTGAATACTGAGAGCTGATGCATGTAGTTTGTTTTGGGAGTGCACTTCTAGAGTAGACCAAACTAGCATCGTCTGTAAGGATTAGCTAAATATCTCGGTGCATCATGCATACATATGTGGTGGTTCCTTCCCAACATATTCACCTAGGTTTTTTTTTTTTTGAACATTGGTAAAGTTGCATTCTTCAGCATTAAGGACATGCTGGCCACCTTCAAAAATTTACAGCCCTAACCAAAATTAACATTCACCTAGGTGTCCTGGCACATCGTGTTTGCATTCTGATGGTTTGACATTAGGGTGCTAGCACAATTTAATCTAAAGCTATTTATTGCTTAAGATCCGCTATGAAATCGAGAACTTCATTTTATCAATGCAAACACTTGTCAGGAATTTTGAAGGTTCGGAAACAGCCTCTCTACCTCCTCGGTAAGGTCTACGTACACTCTACCCTCCCTAGGCTCTACTTGTGGGACCTCACTGGGTATGTTGTTATAAATACTTGTCAGGAATATCACCTTGTTTCTGCACCCCCCAAAAAAAAAAAAAATAGCCAGCAGATGTATAAATATATGTATATTGGCGGCTGTAATTATTTTTGGCCAAGCGGCCGGGTATAGATATAATGTGCATCTTCTGATGTATTTTCCTTCAAAAAGAAATGCATTGAGATGGAATTTAACTTCAGTGTCATACCTTCCCACATCTTGATGGAATTCTTTTTGTATTTGTAACCATTAATACTGCACCTACTTGTGTTTGCCTTCATATTTGTGTTGTCTCTTAGTCCTTTTTTTGCAATTCTCAGGGCTTGACCGAAAAGTTTAAGGAGAAAGATACGCGTTATACTGGCTCAGCGAAACTGACGTATGATGAGTTCATGGCCATGATCCTACCTTTTATTGTGTCATACTAGGATGCTAGAAATTCATTTCTTATTTCATTTATTGTTCGTTTGGCGGTTTTGGAGGGAATTTCCAGAGTGGATTGTGTCAATATTGTGATCTTGACATTGTATATTTACAATTGTCTGTACAAAGTCTTTTCATGCCAATTCTTGTTCATATGTATTAAAGTTCTGATCATATCTTTATTCTATAATAATAAGAAAGCAAGTGGTGTTGTTCAAGTATGGTTTGTATAGTTGCAGAAAAAAAATATTTTTTGATATAAACTCATTTTAGATAGGTTGCATGTTACTGCAAATAAAATTTCTCATCTGCAGCAAGACTTGTACCTTAATGGTATTGGTATGAGTCTTGATTTTTATTACCTCCTTTAAAGTTCCGCTTGATGGATGAAATCTTCTCTCTTCTTAGAGTTCGTTCTCATGGACGTATGGAATATAAGACGAAGGTGGATGTTTTTTTCATTTTTTTTAGAAGAAAAGTTATCACCCTTGAAAGAATGCATAATAGCTCATGAATAATGATACAATAGCTTCGGTTTGAGTAAAAACCAAAAGGAAAAAAAAGTGCAAAGAGCATCGACACAAATTATCAGTGACCTCCTACATAATGTATGAGAGCTATACGTGAATCGAAAGAACCAATCAATTAAAAAATTTACAAGGTTTTCAAAGATTTAAGAGCACAACATAAAGAATAAGTTACTCTATTGACATAATATCCATTCTTATATAAAATTAAAGTGTGTTTAGCTATTCCTAATCCTTCAAGAATTGGCTTAAAATTATAGAGTATACAAGTTGTTGTACAGAAATAAATGTAATTTCATATCATTCATGCAAAAAGAATATTCTGTACACTGTGCCAAAGAGTTTAAATGACATGATATAAACCATGTACTAATCACAGGCCTATGATAATTCAGGTTCAATGTCATTCTTGGTGAATATTGCAGATTGCAGCATTAATACTTTTACAATCAAACTCCATAGTCTTCATCCAATTCTCAAAGTCTCCAATTTCCTGTGCCAAAATAAAATAAAAATAAAATATTGAAGCTACATATATCAACAATGTAACATCATCTATGTCTCTACAAGATCGGATTATAACATTACACGAAGTGTCAATATGAATGAAACACAGTTTCCACTGCATAGAAGCATATCATTTCTATAGAAACAAGTACGCCTCAGCTTCATCTAGTTGTAGTCCGGCTATTAAAAAAATTACAAGTCGGTGCACGAAGTACCATGCATTTATGCAGGATCCGGGAAAAGGATCGCCTTAAGGGGTATGATGTAGGCAGCCTACCCTGACGCAAATGTTAATGGTTCATTCCACGGCTTGAATACGTGCCCTATAAGTCACAGGGAAATGACTTTACTAGTGGAGACTGTTGCTCAAAGACTCCTTTTCAGTTAGGGTCAACTATAACTCGCCAAAGTTCAATCGTAGGAAAATCTAATACCCGAGAGAATCTTAATAGTTAAGTTAATTAGCTACCTAAACTTACACCTTGTATATTTATATTCTAGAGGAAATTTGCAGTCGATTTCTCTGTCTATAAAAGGCATCCCCTTCCTAAGTTGTAAATCATCTCATCTCTTTTCTCTTACTATGTGGTTCGAACATTTTTGCCTACTCCAAGGCCACACATAGAATAACTTTATATTAAAATGAAGAGAATGCTGAAGGGATAATGTTCAACTGGAGTGGGGGATGCCTATTTATAGGCAAAGAGATCAGCTGGAAATTTCCTCTTAAGAGATGAATATGTGAAAAGAAAAATTTATGCACGGCACCAAAATTATGTTTCTGTTTTCTTTCTTTCGGACTTTGCATTCTGACATTTACCTTCTTTCTTTTATGTGAATAGTGCATGTGATAGTATTGTATGTATGAATAATATCTCAACTGCATAAGGTGAAACACACTCACTATCTGAAGTCTGACAATGGAGGAGAGTATGATAGTCAAGAGTTCAAGGCATTTTGCACTGAAAATCGGATCAGAATGATCAAGACAGTTCTTGAAACACCAGAACAAACTGATGTAACTTCATGCTTCATATTAATAATTGAACCTCAGAATAAAGGTTTAAAAGTCGATCCAACAGTCTATGATGAGGCTCGTGCTTTATAATTGAATTTCCTAGTTCTACAAAAACAAGCTGACATTTTTTTAATCAACGTGTGCGCATCTTGCTACCTCATACGAGGCGAACTACCAACTAACTTTTGTCCATCAAAACACACAAAACGGAAAGAAATCACCTAGCGTTTTCTACTCAGCGGAACTTAGTCAAGGTGATATCTATTTTAGCTGGATGTTAGAGCCTAAAAGCTACACATTCATCAGAAAAATTCAATCTTGAATAAACATAAACACAAGTAGCTAGCAACATGGACTGACCTTAATTGCAGTATTGATAGAGTGTGAAGCAGCAAGCCATTGATCAGTTTGCTTTCCAAATTGCAAAATGCTTGCAGTTAAAGCACGAATTTCCATTTCAATTCTCTTTTGCATTACAAAAGCTTCTTGTACTTCTCTATTCACTGAATCCACTAACAGCTCCGAAACCCGCCTTGCACTACGAATCCCATCCTTCTTCGCCTTCTCTGAACCAAAATTCAAAATACCCACAACCCAATTTTGTCAAATTCCAGCAACCCACAACCCACAACCCAATTCATAAAATTCAAGAATTCCACAACCCACTTTTGCAAAATTCGAAAAACCTAGAAACTCAATTCGAAAAATTCGAGAAACCCACAACCCAATTTTGTAAAATTCGAGAAACCCAGAAACTCAATTCGAATAATTCGAGAAACCCAGAACTCAATTTGGTAAAATCCAAGAAACTCACAAACCAAATGCTGAAAAAAAAAACATTGAATTCAAATGGATTTATGTATTTGTTACTAACCGGTGGATTCACGGAGCTTGAGAGATGAAGAATGGTGGGAGTTGATGATTTGAATGAGTGAAGCTTCTAAGCCATTAGGATCTACTTGTTTCGACCGATCCATCTTCTCCCCCTAGTGACACTGCAATGGCAGCTCAAAGGAATTGAATCTTACAGAATGATTATTAAATGGCTTAATACATACTAAGCCCTAAATTTGACGGAATATTTCATTTAGACACTTAAACTATAATCGACTTCACTTCGATCACTAATTTCGTAGGTTTCTAAGAAATTTCTCTCGTAATTAGTTATTACGACGATCAAGGTTAGCGAGCAAGGGCGGAGCTGACTCATTGATTATAATTTCGATTGAATTTCGTAATTTTGATTCAGATTTTATATTTAGTTTGTAAAAAGTTATTGAATATATACAAATTATAAATTTTAAAATCTAGTAACTTTTAAAAAAAATTACATTTCAAATTCATAAATTCAAAATTTTAACTTTGCCTATTTAGTAATCATGTCTCAATTGAACACATTAACTTCTACTTTAGTGTTTAAATGAGGCATTTTTTATTCAAAAAAATTGAAGAAAAACTAATTACATTTAATTTCATTTGTCTATTGAATAGTTAAGCTGGCAGCATAACTATTTTTAATAGATGAACAAGAATACACGTAAAAGAAAATAATCTAAATTTGAGTTAACAGTGTCTAATTGATGCTATAATTTGTTACTCCCTCTATTTTATATTAATTGAATTGTTGAGATATTTTTTATTTTTCAAATTAACTTAATTGTTCAATTTTCAAGACTACTTTTAGAATGTTTTTTCAATTTTACCCTTCATTCGTTAGTATTGGAAGTAGTTATTAATTAATGTTTAGTTATTTTAAAATCTCAAGTAGCCCTACAAGCTTACAAGTTAGAGAAAATGACATAAATAGCCCCTCAACTATAGGAGTAGGTTTAAAATGGTCCCTGAACTAACACTTAACAGATTTAGTCCTTCAACTATTCAAAAACTTGTCAGCTTTGGTCCTTAACTATACACTTATCGATTTTAGTCCCTTAACTATAAACTTATCGATTTTAGTCCTTTAAGTATTCAAAACTTATCAAGTTTGGTCTTTGTCCATTTTTTTAATACAAATAGCTTAGGTTTATATTAACAGAATCTATGCCTCGAGAAATTAAATCATTTAGCAACTTTTTCTTCAAATTAACCTTACGCGAAGAACCTTATCCTCAACAATTTAAAATAAAATTCACGAGGAAAGAAAATATATGTCATAATTTTATTCAACAGAGGATAAAATGAAGCATATTATTGTTACTAATGACTTGAATATGTTAAACTTTATTATAAAAAGAAAAAGGTTATTATCCGTTAAATCCAAAGTTTGTACTCCAACGATTTCATTGAACGAAAGTTGTTTAATTTTTCAGAATGGTAATTTATAAAATGGTAGATTTGTAATTTTTTAAACTTTTTTTTTAAATAGATCAATTTTATTATTCTATTCATTTTATTTACAAAGAAATTTGAGTAAATTAAATAAAATTCGCATTGATTAGCATGATAAGTTTCTCGAACAAAAACTATCAAAGTTTAGGATGGTGCGTATTAAAAACCAAAGCTATTTGTATTAAAAAAAATGGACAAAGACCAAACTTGATAAGTTTGTGAATACTTAAAGGACTAAAATCGATAAATTTATAGTTAAGGGACTAAAACCTGTAAATGTATAGTTAAGGGACCAAAATTGACAATTTTTTAAATAGTAGAAGAACTAAATCCGTTAAGTGTATAGTTCAGAGATCATTTTAGACCTACTCCTATAGTTGAGGGACTATTTATGTCATTTACTCTTACAAGTTACAACTTCTACAAGTTGATTAAAAAAAGACAAAAGAACAGCAAATATAACAATTTGCAGTAGGTCATAATCAATCATATACATCAGCACAATAATATTTCCCTTATTATAATTCAAATAATAATAATGGGATGACAACTATTGCCAGACAAATATTTCTGTTCTTATTATTAAAATTTTGTAAATGAATCAACTATTCAACTAATAAAAGTAGTTAACAAACTTTTTTTTTTTCTGAGAGTCTCTATATATTCTATGTTTTTTTTTTTTTTGGTATGAATACACAATGTATATATTGATCATGACCTTCATCTCCAATAAGCAAATTTTTCCAGCCAAGTTAGCAAATGTGAAAACAGAAAATAATAAAAACTGCGCCGTCTACGACTACCTGCGAAAAATAATAAAAATCAAGCTATTAGATTAATTGTATCAAGACTAAGAAACCATCATTATCTGCAGAGAAGTATAACAATAACACACATTTCAGCAGCCAAATTTGAAAATTTAGTTGTCAAAGATTTGTTGAACGTGTACTGTTTTTCATATCGCGATCACTAGTTCATACACGTCTTGTAGAAGACGGGGCGTGTCTAGAAACATTCAAAGGCTTAAACTTTATTTGTATCAATGATATGACACAACAAGGTTATAGGACCTTTGGTAGACAAGATGTTCTTGCCCGAGTTGTGTCGAGTTACTATATATCAAAGATCATGACATAGAGCTTCGATCAAGAAGGAGATAATTGTAGACTAGACCTTTCCTACTGGAGAATCAATCACTTCTTAATGATACGAGAATGATTCTGATCTAGTTCATGGCCTATAAGATGCAAAAGGAGCTCTAGTGGCTTCACATGCCTTGCACGTCCGGTAGCATAAACCAAGGGGCCGCGGTATAAAGTATTGTTTGTACTAGTTTCTATATACCTAACTAGATGTGGTGAAGGTTTATCCAGCCTACTAGGGAATCAATTCAGTGGGAATATTAGCCAGGCACCCTTGCATTTGTCAAAGTTTAACTACTCATTTTAAGCCATTGCTGATATAAGAAAAGGTTTCTTATGGGCTCCATGATGTTAAAGTTGCAACTTTTTCAAGACTTGCCAACAAAAAGTTTCCATCATGCCAGATCAGTTCTCTATAAGCACATACTTTTATCTACAAGGCAACCAAAAATTAAATATCTAAAGGAAGATCTTTTCCCTTATAAGCCCCGACCCCCCTTCCCGACCTACATGGAAAAAAGAAAGCGAGAAAGTAAAAATACAAACACACTATACACAGGAAAAACAGCCTGACATAACAAGTCTTAAGTTGCTCGGACTCTCCAGAATTGCTGCCACACCTGTGTGTGGTCCTCCAAAAATGCACTACTTTTGGAGGATCCGACACGTACCATCAACATTTTTGAAGAGTCCGAGCAACATAATAAGCACCAACCAATCCCACATCAAAGAACATACAAAACACATGTTTTTGTTCCCAACCCCACTATAAAAAAAAATCTATTAATATGTGGACCGCTTTTGTAGCTACTTGGCGAAATCAGATAGGGAGGATTTTGTTATAAAAACTTGTGCAAGTGTGGAATGAGGAACATGTTAATGAAATAGGGAAACGAAGAAAAAAAGGTGGTAGAGGTTGAAAGAAATGCAAGTTTGAATTGACTAGAAGAAAGATAGGTGACGCCAATACTGACGGCTCTACATCAGATTGATACAACAAATTCTTATGAAAATGATGATAAAAAGAAAGAGACAGAAGAAGTCATAATCAGATACAGGGCTTCACTAGTACACACAATTACTAATGAGCCTTTCCACTTGACAATACTCCCTCCGTCGCAATTTATGTGTCTTAATTTGATTTATCGCGGAGTTTTTAAGAAATAAATGAAGACTTTTGAATCTTGTGATCTTAAACTTGCAATGTAGAATGTTGGGATCAGAAAACTTACTAAATATAGAAAGAGTCACTGTTTACGGGACAAACCAAAAACGGAAGTAAGACGCCTAAATTGGGACTGAGGGAAATAATTCGGTATTTGTTGATAGATGGGACTCAAAGAAGGTGGCTTTCTTTACCAATATGCAAGCCAATATGGACTTTTGTCTTCATGAAGATGATGGGAATTTTGTAAAATGAGATTCATATGCATGATTGCTAGTGGGAAGATAAGGCTGATGAGACACATTACCATATCTTCAATAAAGAAATGATACAATGGAAGGTATCCTAGAAAGTAGGTGATTAACAGTTGACCATCACTGGAATATTAAAATCCCAAGAATCCATTACAACTTGCATAAGGTGGGATTTTAACTTACAAAAGTGCAAATTAACGAAAATAACTTTGACGCCGCACATGTTTACTAATCATGGTTATTTCAAGCTATGTTGCTTGGACTCTTCAAAAATGCCGCAGCACTTTTGGAAAGTTCGAGCAACATAGATATCAGGAGGAGCTTCTAACTACTAAAAACTAAAGGAAAATGAGGATAAGATACTTTGAAAACTAATGGCCTCAAACACCCCTAACAAAACACACTGATTCAAGAAAATTTAGGGAATAACGAAAGCATAAATAAGGAGAAATTTGAGGTTTAAAGTCTTCTTACCGTTTAATATCTATCAGCGAAAGTTCCTGAAAAAATTGAATCATCTCTAATCTCCATAGTTGATCTATCGTACAGCGTTCAGAAGTGTATCAAGAAAATCATCATAAGCAGAAGAAGAGCAGAAAAAGAAAAGGCCTGTACAAAATAAAAGGATAGCATTAGGAAGGCAAAAAAATGCAAGATTCAACATTACAGCAAAATAATGAAAACATAGAAACTGATGAAAATAAGGTAATAGTCGACATGCGAAGCAAGAAATGACAGATTCCTTACATTTTTCTTAGCAGCTGAATAGTCCATACGTGGAAGAAATCCTCGTAACCCGATGTTATAAACTGGAGTTCCATCAGGGTAGTAGAGACCATAATTCCTCTCTGATGCTGGACCAGGCTTTAAATTTTCGTTGAAAAGTGCAAACACGTAAACATCAATGGGCTCCGATGGCTTAGCTGGAGTCCCTTGATTTTGCTGCATACGCTGAAACAAATTACCGTTATATAGTGCAGCATTTACAGGTGTTGCTCCAAATTCATTCGGGTCTCCCTTTGATGGCCAGCCGGTTTCGGAAACCTTAACTGGAATGTCTGTGTGGCCCATTGCCTTAATTGCTGAATAAACTGCATCAATTTGTGCATACAACATGTTGTCATACTTCAAATTCGTGATCGGGTCAGTCGTACCTTGGTTAGGCTGGAAAAGTACATAATCAAGCGGAACTTCGTTGGGGTTGTCTTTGTATGCAAAGAATGGATAGAAATTTATAAGGAACGGTGAC